ATATTCAATCACTAACACTGACAATTAATTGTAGTGCTGAAACTAATTGTAGGTTCAGCTCGAGAACAATTTTAATAAATCTTAGGCTACAGTTGTTCTCTTTTTGGACAAGCTTCAAGGCTAACTCGAGAATACCAGTATACACTAGATCTAATGAGACTAGGAGATATGATATATGAGTAAGGTTAAGATTGATATTAGACTGAGAAGTTGCACGATTCCATCCGGCCGAAAATAAGATAGCGTGACGAACAGATGGTGTACTCTATCTGAAATTACTCTATGAGTATGCTACCTCTGGCATAAACTCACTAGTTCCCCAGTTATTCGTTCTCCTCAGAATTTTGTATTTACATTTTAAAGAGATCTATCAGGCAAGTGAATTAGGAAAATTAACGTCAAGTTATGACAAACAAAACATGATTTATACACTTAGCTTCTTGTTTTTTGGCAGTTCTGTTCAATGTTCAGAGCATTTTGTTGATGTAACTTGGCCTGGCTGTCGGCGATAAATTTTCCCAATTAACTTTCTTTAGAAAATGTGACTGCTTGCAATCTGTCTTCTAAACTCGGGAGGTGCAATCCAAAGTTGGCATCTGTGTTCAAAATAACATTGATCATTTCGTTTTGCTTAATCGCATGAGAAAATGAGCCCCATCATTCTTCTTAACGACCAAAATTTATGAGACTTTCTTTTCAAGTTTGATTTCACTTGCGAGAGCAGGTGACTTTCAATCAGGATCTAGACTTTTTCCCGTAAAGAGTTTTTTTTACATGTTTTGCACGTAAAATTTACGGCACTAATTGCACTTATTTCATACAAAAACCATTCTGACGTTAAGCTTTTTGACAATAAGCAATCTGACAAACTACCGTACCTAAGAAGTTCTTTGATTCTGCCATGAAATACTTAATTTCCGATCTCAAATTCTGGTCAGGAATTCTTTGCGAAATGTTTAAATAAAGCATGGATTTTCTATAAATGCTTTATTCCTAATCCAATCTCTGGTCAGAAATTTTCTAAATCTAGACTATTTCTAATCAGAAAAAGCTTTTTTCAAATCTAAATTCTGTTCAAAAATTTTTTAAACCTAGGTTCTTGAAAAGAATTGATTTTTATATAAATATTTTTCCAAAATATTATGAATAACCAGAAAATATAAGTGATGTTTTCCAGTAAGAATGTTCACAGTCGAGTCACTATAATTTTTGCAATGCATGCTTTTTTTTATTCGAGTTTTAGTCTGGACAGAGGGTCCCACAGAATAGGAGGAAGCCCAATCCGGTGCACCGCCTTGTTCCGTCTCTGTTCTGTCTAAACAACTAAAAATAAGGCCGAACCTAATCACAGATTCGTACAAGTTACCATGCTACAATTACGAGTTTTAGAGTATTTAAAAAAATAGTACAATTTTGTTTATATAAAAATATGCATGCATTATAGAACCTCCTGCATTAAGCGTTAAAGCTTCTTTAGATGCATATTTGTGTATGTATGGGCGTGTTTGTAAACATGACTTGCCTGAAGTTATAAAAAAAATGAAGAAAAATTACAAAAACATGTTTTACAACCCCCCCCCCCCCCACTGGGAAGATAGGATGGGAAGATTTTGGCGTTTGTGTCAGTTGGTTCAGGGGGGGGGGGGGGGGGGGGGAGCATATAGAGTTAAATGGTAATTTCAAACAGCGATAAGTCAGTTCTATTGTTTTTGATAAACTTCTTAGTGTAACAAACAATCATACTCATTTTAATTGAATTTATCGAAAAACAAGACATGTGACAAAATTTGAATTTCTGTTTGAAAACAGAATAGAAATGGTTTACTTCTTAATAAGAAAAGAAATAGAGAATTTCTGTACCGAAAATACAAGAAAACCTGGGTAGATAATCTATATAACTCTTCTATCAAGGGAAGCATTCTTACAATAAGCTTTTTTTATTTCATTTTTTTCGAACTTTTTTAACAAGCAATGAAAAAACCAGCCGCCCAATTTAAATGCGTGTTATATTATTCACGTTATTCACGTTAAATATCATTCGCGCTATTACGTTTGATAACGCTTTTTATGAGTGCCCGGCTAAACCAAAATGTGCAACCATACATGGTTCCATAGAAGCCATAAATTGCTGAGGACGTATGAAACCGTTGGAATAACGCTTTTTCTGTAAAGGGTCCGCCATTTGATTGCCAATTTTTGTATCATCGCAACGCCTCGAATGATGTCAAAATAATTTTGCTTCAAAGAGAGAAAAGTTTGCTATGTCTTCATAAATGGTGCCGCGTATGGTTTCTATGAAATAATATATAGTGCCGCGCATGATTTCTATGGAACCGCGTATGGTGGTGCGTTTTATTTCCATAGAACCACTATGTTGCCCAGTATAGTTTCCATCAAAAAGTTTGGCAAGAAACCGATGTTAAATTGTGGGGAACCCGTAAAATTGACAAATACTCATAAACTTGCTTGAAGTAGCTACAAATAATGCTCTGGAGCTGCTCTCATGGGGCGGCAGCCAGAAAAATGTCCCGTTTTTTTTTTATATCTTTGACTATTCCTATGCGTTTTGCCAGAGAGCTAGCAAGAGAAAAATGAATACGCAATCACATATTGTTTTTCTTGTACCAATCTCTACCTCAAATGCAATTTTTTTCATCAAATATGATCGAAACGCACTTGCCAATTTGTAGAAAAAGCAAAGAAATTCCAAAATGCAACAGTTTTTATCGGGTTTCTTTAAAACTTTTTATGTACTACTAAAGTTGTTTTTGTATGGAAACATCGTTTTCATGAATAACACTATGCTTGGTGCGACGTATGATTTGTATGGTGAAAACATTCAATATTTCACGCATTATCAACAGCAAGGAAATTTTTTCGATCATAGTTTGACCAGGTAAAAATTTTTGTGTTTTCAGAAAAGTTTTTGTTTGGAATGATTGTGTTTTATTTCTTAAAAGCTTCTGCTTTAGTTTGAATCTGTATGAATAATAATTCTAGCAATTAGAAGAAAAAATTTTTTTCAGAGCGTTCGAAAAAAATTATGAGCGACGTATGATTAGATATTTTCCATACAACCGATATATGGATGTGTATGGTTGAGCATTAACCTCTATGGTGAGCATCCCGAGTATTGCCATTTTTGTCGCGCGAGATATCTCGAATGATTATTACAGGGGAAGAATGTTGAATTGATACGAGTGATGTATTTTATACCGTTTCGAATTTAGTTCTTACGTTCCTGATTGCATGTTTCTGAAAATCTATTTCCTAGGTTTTTTGTTAAGACAATCTCAGCCTTATCTTTTTAGAAGAAAACTCCAATTTCAAGAATCTTCTTTGCATTGCAACTTAAATTTATCTTAGGGCTTAAAATGACGTATCAGTATCTAATGGATAATGAGCTATCAAACTGAATCTGTTGTATGTTCGATGCCTAATTGTGGGCAATATTAGTAGCCTTGAGTAATTTAAATCAGAATCAAACCGGGTTAAATCAAAGTGAACTTCGAGGCATTATGAATTTAAGATGTTGAAATTGAACAACCAGTTTTGTTGAAATTTTACAACCAAGAATGATAAAATCAAAAGTTTCATGAACTACAGGCTAACTGATAATTGCAAAGCATAGCTGATTAATAACTTTGATAGCAAGTTCATCAAATATGATCGAAACGCACTTGCCAATTTGTAGAAAAAGCAAATAAATTCCAAAATGCAACAGTTTTTATCGGGTTTCTTTAAAACTTTTTATGTACTACTAAAGTTGTTTTTGTATGGAAACATCGTTTTCATGAATAGCACTATGCTTGGTGCGACGTATGATTTGTATGGTGAAAACATTCAATATTTCACGCATTATCAACAGCAAGGAAACTTTTTCGATCATAGTTTGACCAGGTAAAAATTTTTGTGTTTTCAGAAAAGTTTTTGTTTGGAATTATTGTGTTTTATTTTTTAAAAGCTTCTGCTTTAGTTTGAATCTGTATGAAAAATAATTCTAGCAATTAGAAGAAAAAAATTTTTTCAGAGCGTTCGAAAAAAATTATGAGCGACGTATGATTAGATATTTTCCATACAACCGATATATGGATGTGTATGGTTGAGCATTAACCTCTATGGTGAGCAACCCGAGTATTGCCATTTTTGTCGCGCAAGATATCTCGAATGATTATTACAGGGGAAGAATGTTGAATTGATACGTGTGATGTATTTTATACGGTTTCGAATTTAGTTCTTACGTTCCTGATTGCATGTTTCTGAAAATCTATTTCCTAGGTTTTTTGTTAAACAATCTTAGCCTTATCTTTCTAGAAGTAAATTCCAATTTCAAGAACCTTCTTTGCGTTGCAACTTAAATTTATCTTAGGGCTTAAAATGACGTATCAGTATCTAATGGCTAATGAGCTATCAATTTGAATCTGTTGTATGTTCGATGCCTAATTGTGGGCAATATTAGTAGCCTTGAGTAATTTAAATCAGGGTCAAACCGGGTTAAATCAAAGTGAACTTTGAGGCATTATGAATTTAAGATGTTGAAATTGAACAACCAGTTTTGTTGAAAATTTACAACCAGGAATGATAAAATCAGATGCAAAAAGTTTCATGAACTACAGGCTAACTGATAATTGCAAAGCATAGCTGATTAATAACTTTGAATTTTCGAAGAAAAATTTCACCAGCACAAGTTGTAAGAAAATAGCAAGTTCATCAAAAGTTTTGAATTAAAATCATTTCTATGGTAAAATTGCTGTCATTTTTGAGTGACAAACAATTAAAAACTGAGGGTGTGCTTCACGATTGAAAGTAAAATTATGAGTGTGGTCGGAATATTCTTGGTTTGGCCTGATACAAGTTGTCTTGTCTGTCATGAAATGGAGCTTTAACTGGTTGTTCAAGTTGTAGTCAAAGTCTGTTACTTTCAAATTCTATTTGAAGCTTTTCTAATTCTCTACCTCAGGACACAAATTGTCCTTTAAGCATGTGAGTTTGTAGTTTTAATAAATCAGTTGTTATTCCGGATAAATCCTCGCCCAGGGTGACCGTGTCGCTTTTTATGGAATTCAGACCGACAGTTTTACGAAGTCATAAACAAATAAACCAAGAAATCTGTATAATGTAATCAGAGATAAGCTTTTGATCCGGTTTTGGCTTTAGAACGATTTTGACCAGCCTGTTCTGTTCTGGCCACGGCCGCTCTAACAATCATAGAAGCTTAATTAGTCGAAATTATCGACAGACAGAATACAGATTTAAGTTAAAAAAACTGAGATACGTAAATAGAGGTTTAATACTTCCAGTTCTTATATTTTGACACCACATACCTTCAATGCACAATTTAGCTCGAAAATCAATCATTAGGTCAGATGGTGTGTACGACCATCTGTAATTAGTTCACAAACATTGCGACGGCAAATAATTTATTAACAACAATTATTCACCATTCATCCGTGGAGCTATTGCTTTGTAGGAAAATTATTCGCATTGGACCTGGCGGTCTGCAAACTTGGCACTCCCTTCCTAATTCTGTTCTTCCCGCCTAAGAAGCCTGACAGTAATTCGGAAACAGACGAGCTTCTTTTTTGGTAGTCTTCTAGATGCGCTTCAATTGCAGCCTATGAAAGCTGGCATGTATCCTTATACCGGAGACAACTTCGCTTCAAATTTTGAAAGAGAAAAACTCCTAATTCAATCCATTTATTCCAAAAAATACCACTTTTTTGCAGCTTTGCAAGTGTTCTACTAAGATATTTAGGTGTTCCTGTCTAATTTGGATAAAGTTTTGGCACTGAATCAATTTTGGCTTTTCTTTTCCTTGTGTGTTTTCTGACGATAGATATTTTGGTCCGTAAAACTCATAAATCGCTCAGTTAAACGGTGATTGTAAATTTTTGCGATTAAAATCATAGATCCCTCAATTAAATTGAATGGTGTAGGTAGCAGGATCTTATATCCGATTGTAACCTACCTATGCGCCAGTCTATCTTATTCGAACATTGAACATTGAACCTAGTAAAGAAATTCCGCCTCCTACAAAACAGAAGTGGGTAGCGGTATTTTTATCAAGGCATATGGATCATTTCTTTTGCACTCCGATGTCCAAAACTCCTGCTGAAATTTTGCGTCGAGCTGCCTGACTAGTCAAAAGGAAAGAAAGGAACTCGATATATGATTTTGAAAATCCCGAGGGAAAATTGTTGCGAGTTTTTATTGTGTTTTACTGTTTGGATAAGACGGCTGGTTTAGGTGGGCTGGATTGTGGATTATCACTTCAGTTTTTGATCTCTGTTTGTTATGCCTGCCCAGATGTTTTAATTCAACACTTCCGTCAATATCAACCAAATGGCGTCAAACAACATCGAAAGTTTCATTCACTTGAGCAATTTAATCTCCAACCAAGATAACAAATAATCACTTGCTCAGAGACATTTTAACACTTTTCAATCTAAGTCAATTTGACTTATCAATTGTGCTCACAGACGGAAGTTTGCCCAATTAAATCGGATACGTGTGAGCAATTACCAATTGGCTGGCAGACTTCTAAATGTGGTAAAATTCAATCAACTGGAGCGCTTCTATGACTACTTGAAGAAAATTAATCCATTATTAATCAACTCAACTGGTTCTTTCTGTTATTTTCAACATTTTAGTTTTCGAAAGGTTAGTTGAATCTCTTTAGAACTATAAAAGGCTTTTAAAATTTTCTCGCAAAAGAAGTTCACTTGTTTAGTCCGGTTTTTGCTTTGTAAAACAAAGTACCAACATACAATTTTCTCCAGGAGGGAGAGAGTTGAAGAAACCAAAATTTTTTAAGTTCTTTCTCTAGATTGCCAATTAATACTCAAAGCTCTTTTAAAACTGTATCAAACTGTAAATTGGTTTAAAAAAAGCCCTATTTCGATAATTTTATGTTTGTTCGACTAGTTTTCGTAGATAAACTTTATTTAACATATTTGTTTTTACAATTTTTGATTTTTTGAGAAAAAAACTGAGTGAAGGGGAGAGGGAGACGTGGATCCAAGTTTTCGTTTGAGATAATAACAGTTGTTTCAAAGTAAGCATTTTGGCTGTTTTTGTTAGACTACAACAGTGAAGAGTATTCAAGTTCAATACTTTTTCAATCCTAAAAACGAAGGTCCAAACGCTTTACTGCTTTACATTAAATGAAAACGTCTAACGCAGTTTCTCCTGTTTCTGCCGGGATCGAAAGAAAGCGCAGTTTGAATACTTAAAGACTTTTGGACTAAGCCGGATCTAGGGTTATTTGAAAATGCAGGGGTTGGTTGAAAAAGTTTTTGATAATTGGCGAACTTTTTTCAAATGTTATCATTGATAACGAAGTGTAGATTTCCACTTTTTTTCGAAGGATAAAAACTATTGAAATATTTCTAAAGTGATAACTTTCTCTCTATCTCTAATAGCTGGTTGTTGTTCACATTCAAAAAAGGTGTTGATTCCAAATCTAAAAACTAAGAGTTTTCTCAAAAATTGTATGACGCAGGAGTCGAAAAAAAAATCTGACCAAGTTTACAAAATGTTTCTCTTTTCAACACAAAAACTTTCTGCCAAAAAATTAATGGTTTCGTTTTGCTGCTTCATAAAACAAAAATGGATCTTAGAAAAGTGCTCTATCCTTAAACAGCAATGCTTCAAATTAGGCTTGTTTTAACCGCAACGTGGTCACAATGAAATTAAAATTGAAGTCAGTTTGTCAACCTGAACACAACACTCTTGAAGTAAAAAATCATTCAGCCTGTTTTATAAAATGTTCTGGATATTTTAGAGCCAAGAAGTTCATTATCTCTGTCGTTTTGTTGAAAAGTTTCTGAATATAATTTTTATAACCGACATTGAACAAAAAAATTCAACATAAGAAAATGCAACTTTGATTTTTGACAAAAAATTCATCAACGTTGCGCGATTATCCCGGTTATCCTTAATGAATCCCCCGTAAATGCCGGACAACTTTCTAAAACCCACTAATCATGACCATTCTCATTTTTACGAACTATCAGAATGGCTACTTTTTTCTAAATTCAACTTTGCTTGTCGTAGCAATCAATGGCTTACAATCTCAAGCTTCTAAGTTAGGCGTAGATATATGTCGTTGCGTTGGCAAATTCTAAATTAACAAAAAGAGGAATGGTTAGCGGCCTTCATAAAATAAATCATAAAAACACTTAAATCATTTATTTTGATAAATGGAACCTTAGATATTATTATCTATTTTTTATTTCAAGGGCCATTATTCGTTTGACCTCAAGATCAACAAGACTGCTCGTATCAGGGTTCAGCCCTGAATGATCCGACTGCCTTTTAAGGTTTATTGAGCAGCAGTAATACATAAAAAAACTAAATAAAATGAAATGAAATGAAAGTTTTTTTTTTCTAAAATTTGAAATTTTTTATGAAAATCATCCCCCCACACGCCAAATAAAAAGCAAAAAGGTAGATTTCGTTCCTTGTAACAAATCAATTATGGCAAATAAGCTTCGTTCAACCAATTTGGATCAACTTCTAAGATGGATTAAATCTCCGCTTACGCGTTAATAGCGCGAATTATATCGCGCGTTGATTGTCCCAAATTGGTCAAAATGGCCAAAATGGCAATCTTTAAACCCTCATAACTTTATGAAAAATGATCACAGGTAAAATATCTTTTCAAATTTAGCAATAGCTTTCAGGACAACAATAGCTTTCGAATTTGTCTGAAGAAAAAAAAACCCACCCCGAGCACAAATATTCCGTTACTTTCGTATCGAAAGTCAGAAAAATAAACAGTAAAAATATTCCTGATTTTTTGTTGTATCAGTTTTGAACGATTTTTTTTTCAGCTGTCAAACTGTATTTCCTTATTCCAAACAATTCGAGCCGAAAAGAGCAATCGCTTTCTTTTCAAGTAGTACAAAATGTTCCCACCTCACACATGGTTTCAAAAAATTGCATCATAAAATTTTCTAATCCTTTTCGCATTTTGTTCCGACTTTTAAGCAAAGTGTCGGAATATTTGTGCTCGGGAGTTGTTTTTTCTCCTGACAAATTTCGACTTTTTAACTAGCCATTTTTGACAAACTTTTGTATATCCGAAAATTTTTTTGTCTTGAGCTCAAAAAGGAAAAAGTAATTAACCTGTAAGTTTTTTCGTAAAGTCATCGGGGTATAATAATTGCCAATTGGGCCGTTTCGGCTAACTTGGGACAAACAAGGCGTTATACATTTCATACTATTAACGCGTAAGTAGAGACTTCTTCTGTCCTAGAAATCGTTCTCTAATTGAATTGAGGCATGCATTTTTGGTCTATTTAATACTTTGCTAGTGCCAAATTTATCATTTAGTAATTTACATAGCGTGTTGGGGATTATTTAAAAAAAAGTTTTTTTTTAAGATTGAGGTTATTTTTTGAAAATTTGATCCGTTTTTCAAGCCAGCAAAAGCAATACTCCATAAACTTTAAGAAGGAGTCAGGACATTCAGGGCTTCAACTTGATAGAGCAGTCTTGTTGAGTTATATATGTGATTTAGCTTCCTATTCTTTTGGTTTTATCCTCAATATAAATTAGTCTGACAAATGGAAAAATTAAGTTGACCATTACTAAGTTAGTGATATTTTTGTAACTTGAATGAAGATCAAACAGGTTTTAAAATGATACAACACTTTATTTTCTCTGAGTTTTTTTTGAGATGCCTCGCAAGGTAAGATAAATGGAAGGTAAAATGGTCTGCTGGTACTAGAATTGCGTTAATTATTTCAGGATGACCAATCAATCTTGTTTCCAGTTTTTCAATTTCGATCAGGTCTCTCTTTCTTACCAGTTTCACATTTTCAAGATTCTGACTTAAACGAAGTCGTCAAACATTTTAAAAATTTGGTCGGCAAAAATTATCTGGGATATGCAGTAAATTGTTTAAAATCCTCCAATCTGGTAGTTGTTTTTAACGTTCACCATTTTTTGACCATTTTTAATCAACGTTCCGAGTCCAGACAAACATGTTTTCCTAATTTCGAAAATTTCTAGTTTCCTTGTTGACACGTTCATCTCAATTTTCGTTGATAGTGTCGAAAAGTCGTTTTCGCTACTTCACGAAATTGGAAGGAAATATGGCGTAGGGCGCGTTTTTTTCGTTAAGTTTTGTTCACATCAAAAGTCAAGTGTAGTTTCATAGGGAAGCCTTAATAATCGTACTTTGGATTCCAAAAATTTAAAAGGTGCTGAAGTGTGAGAAAATTTGGTCCGAAGTTTTCCGTTTTTGAGACTATTCGGCACGTCTAAAAAACGAGAGAGTGAGAGACTACGGAGCATGCACGCAAGACTGCTATCTAGTTCTTCTGTGTTTCATTGTTTTTCCTGTGTGTTCTATGTAGAGCCAACTCAGTTTAGCAAATTTTATGTGATTGAGCCCCTAAGAAAATTGAACGAAAAATGTGCGACAAAAAATTCGTTTTCTCAATTTTCTAAGTTTGCTGATTTTCAACTGCTTCACTTAGATTACTGTGGTCGGAACACATCCCAGTATTTGTTGCCTGCCGCAGCAACGATTAAATAGTAAATGTCGGAAGCTCCGGTTAGGAAACAACGACATAATATCATAGTAGCCTTGTGTAGTCTCCCTAAGTGACAGAACTTTTACAAATTCTTAAACTATTTTGATTTTTGTTGGACTTATTTACTACCCATTTGTACAACAAAAAAAGATGTTTTAATCAATTTTTTTACCATCAGTCTAAGAATGATTTTTTTACCTGCTGGGAACCTGGTTTTTTGCTCAGCTGTGTTAAATCAATTGCATCTGTAACTTATGGCAATATATCACCGTGATGTAAATTCAATGTTTTTCTAAAACTTCATCCGAATTATGAACAAATTGCTTAAAATATCGATTAAAATCATCAAATGATGCTGCAGAGTTACTATCACTCTACATGGTGCTCTGATGAGCTACTCAGATGATAACTTGATAGCCAGAAGGCTAGTGTTTGATTGAGACCAGACGAATCGCTTTGTATTTGTGGCCATGGATTCCAAGTTCATTTGAAGAAAGTCTGGAGCTGAACAGATTGCTCTTATGCAGGCTGAAATTGAAATTGGTTACAAATCGGATAATCCTATTTTAATTCTTAAAATAAGAAAAGAGTTTTTATAATTCACAGAATCACGCCTACCGTGCTCTTGTCAAATTATATTGAAAAATGAGATTTAAGTATTAAATTTTTGTTTCAGCTGTCGGCAATCTTTCTTACCAAATAATAGTCATCATCGTCATTCTATTAAAATAATTGTCCTTTGATTGAAAATTTTTTATCTTTTATTTTTCAGCTGACCATCGGCATTTGGAGATTTATTGAGACGAGGGCAAATATTATATCGAGATCTTGACTTAGACATACTTAATTTAACTTGAACAGATTGTCTTATCTTTCAGTAAACCAAACATAAACAAACTACCATTGCGACTAAGCTCGAATCTTCGAAACCTTATCCTTGAGGCCATGGTAGCTTATTCCACATCCTGATAATTATGAAGGCGTTATTTTGTGGTTTCTTACTTAAAAGCACTTAATCAAATCTGTCAGATTATAAACATGATTGATTCACTTGTTCTCAAATTTACTAATAACTTCAGAAGCAATGAATAAACAATAAACCTTCATTTTTTGTAACTTGACTGAAGTATTCTGCAAGCTAAAAAAAAACTCTCCACGAACGTTGATTAAAACGTTTTACTGAATGAAAACACAATTTTGAGCAAAAGTTGGTACTCTTTGTTTTGTATGAAACAGTTAATATCATCAGTTCAATATTTATGATTTTCAAGCTTAATTTTGATTTTATATTCTTCGTTATAAATAATTTTTCAGATATGAAACTTTGTCAATTTAGCGTTACTTTCATTAACTGAGGTAATTAGCTTTAATTCATAATACAAAAATTTGTTCGCACAATGACAAGTATGTCTGTTCCAAAATATTACAGTGGAAACGCAGTCCGCCAAAACTATTTTTACACCCCTTATTTCAAATCTGAGCCCGACGGGGTTGTCGTGCTGTACCCGAATGGGAGGGATGAATCGCAACGAATGAACCATACCGATGCACCCGACTCAGAAAATCCGAATCTTTTCTCGGCAGTTGCCAGTCGGCCAATGAATTCAAAAGTTTGTCGGAAACGACTTTTCATTTTACTTTTACTTTTAGCTTTTCTCATTTTATCTGTTTTTGTAGCTTTCATTTTTATTAATTTAATTCTACCGTTTTATCTCGAGCATCCGACAAGCAATGGATTTGTGGAGGCACAATTTTGGGAAAATGAGTCGGATTTATCGGAAACAGTTCGATTACCAGAAACTAATTGGCCAACTAGTTACGATTTGTCGCTTGAGTTCAATTTGATATATGACTCGCCAACTATTCAGGGTTCGGTTATTATCAAAATTGACACAAAAATTCCAACAGATTACATTTTGATGCATTCGGAGGTCTACAACATCGATTTTGACGCGACAAAAATGATTTTGAGCTCAGGGGAACGCGTTCAAATTTCAAACCAATCTGTTGATTCAAAAACCAGTTTTTTCCTCATTCAACTGGAAACACTTTTGCCAGTCTCAAAAAGCAATGAGCTTCAGTTGAAGTTCACGTCAAAAGTATCCCTCCATCCCCATAATTGGGGTCTATATTCCACTGATTACGATCTCAAAGGGGGAATTTCGACCCAGTTTCAGCCCGGCTGGGCGAGAAAATTATTCCCGTGCTTCGACGAACCTGCATTCAAGTCCATCTTCCGACTCAACGTCTCTCACGACTCGCGTCTTCTCGTGCTCTCAAACATGCCCAAAAAGAAAAATCACTCGGTAGTTGAGAGTGGAACTTCCTTAAAAAGAAATCACGATCAAATGACAGAGTTTGAGGCAACTCCTCTCATGTCAACGTACCTTCTAGGTTTGTACATTGTGCCCAAAGACCCAGAACAGACGAAGTTTAGTTTCGTATACAATAGCTCCCTTATCCCTGGTTACTCCTTCGTCGTCCGGGGGTTTTTGGATTCGAAGACTAATTACGAAAAGGGGTGGGAAGATACACTTGTTGCAGTGCTCAACGGGACTCTGCTCTGGTGTGAACAAGTATTTGGGGAGCCTTACCGACTGCCCAAACTGGACTTAGTCTGGGTATATCATCTAGCTCTTGGTATGGAGAACTGGGGTTTGATCACGATCAGAAGCGATATGAGTTGTAAGTACACTAATTGAATGTATCGATTAATTAAGTTTAATTAATTTGGAATTTGAAAACTCTTAAGTAGAGGACGTTCACATGCTAACTTTTACAGCGCAAGGTTTTATTCGTGAAGAGGCTTTGAAGATTTCATACTTTGTTTGCAAAAAACCGGAAAATCTAGAGCATTGTACAATATTTTGTAAATTTGATGACAACTCAATTTTTCAATTATTTCTCACCCAAAATCTTCCAAAATCAGACGAAGGTGTTTCTATGAGCTAATTTACTTGCTAGTTTTTTGTTTCTTCTATAAGTAATCATTTTTCACTTACAGTGACGATGACTACGATGACCATAATCCACGAGATTCTGCACCAGTGGCTGGGTAACGTGGCTTCCATCGAGTGGTGGAGCGACATCTGGATCACGGAGGCCTTGGTCACATACCTAGAACACAAGATATACCAGGTATATAGATCCCAGAATAATATCCAATTACATTCTACACAATACAAAAGTTACAGTTGTTTCCAAAAGTGTGACCAAACAAAACATAACAATCGAAAGGGCACAACTTTACACTCAAATTTAGTTCCAGGCATCTCAGGGTGGAAATAAAAACAAAATGATTCTTGAGAATTAAAAAAAAAACGTTGAATATCCCCCACTATTTCGAGATATCCATTTTCTATTCTTTGGCACCAATATATACTAAGTTTGAGGAAAGGGCAAAAAAACGCAACGCAATTTTTTTGGTCAAAACATTCCAAAAAGTGCTTAAAAACGCCTTTTTGGCCTGTTTTTTTTTCCAAAATTTGCCTGCGGCGCAGAAAATTTGGTCAAAATAAGGTTTTGATAGTGATTTGAGAGAGCTCAGAAAAACAAATTGGTCGGCCTAAAAAAATTGGGCCTTAATCAGGGGCGGATCTAGGATTTTTTCGAGGGGGGGAGGTGGCGGATTCTTAAAAATTTTCGAAAATTTTGTCGATCTTTTTTTTAGGTCAACCGAAATGATTTTTCGATCTCTCCCTAAGCCCGGTTTAGTCCCTGTTTGGGCCAAATTTTTAGGCACTCTTTAGAATATTTTAACCAAAAAATCGCGTTTTTTCGGCGCGCGCTCCCCCCTCAAAATTAGTTTATATTGGCGCCAAAGGCGCCTTTAGAAAAGTTTTAGGGTCGGTCGGCCAGAAATGCATTTCATAAAAAGTACCAAAGGGGGACCCTTTGGGTCGGCAGGGGTTCGAATCCCTGAGGGAGAGGCGTCGTCAAACCCCCCCCCCCCCCCCCCTAAATCCGCCCCTGGCCTTACTTAACAATGCAAGATTTACCGTTTTTCTTCTGCATAGGGCATGCCGTTCCTGGAGCAGAACCTGTACGAGCTGCTTCTAATCCAGGGCTTCCAGACCAGGAATGACCCGGACGCCCTCTACCCAGAAATCACAGCACCTGACAGTCACACACTCCTCGACCAAACATTCATAGTGATGGCCACCTACCAGAAAGTAAGGAACTTTTCTGTTCCCAAAATGAGTAAATTAACAATTGAGCTCATTTTTCTTTATTCAGCTTCCAGAATTCTTTCACCCAAATTAAATACAACCACCAATCATCCTATTTGAACCTTGATCTTCCAGCTTCAATCTAACAGAAAGGTCCGTTTTGGACGGTATACCAGAAAAGACCCGAAAATAATTTTTATGCCACAGACTGGAACTGATTGTATTTTGAAATCATCCTGGGTACTCAAAGTTAAAAGCCCAATTTTCGACCCAAGACTGGATTAAGTAGCATAAACTCTCCAAAAAGACCAACTTGAGATTCGCCGACCTGTTCATTTTGAACTGTTCAATTTGAATTAAATTTGTTAAACTATTTCATTTTGATTGGCTCGAAATTCCATCATCGAGCCAAATTTAACATTCTCACCCTAAAATGTTTTTTGGGCAAGGGAGAGAAGGATGATAACTTGGGCCCAATAACAGTTTTTTCAAAAGTTCTGGATCCACCCTTAATTAAAAAAACGCTTCACAAAAAGATCATTATTGTTCCGACTTTCGAAATAAGTGCGGAATAATTATGTTTGTGCTGGTTTTTGATTTCAATTCTAAAAGAAAGTGAGGAATATGTATGCTTGGGATGGTTTTTTCAGACCATTTGTGGCTCATTTGGCGGCTCAATTTCTGGCTCAATTCCGCAAACCACTATATTAGCGTGACTGGCTCTTTAATTTAAGCCGAGTCCAACTAAATTGATTATTGTAAACTTTGATGCTGAAAGTTTAATGTGAAATATTTACGTTTGGCAAATTATCATGCACAAATTGAATTGTACACGGAAGTGAATTGAGGAAAACTAATGGGTCTTATTACAATCAGATTCGACTCAATTTTAACACTTAAAATTTGGGCTCTTATCTACTTTCCCCCGCATTTGAAAATCAATTTTGAGAAATCATTTTAATAATGCAATGAAATTTGGCATGATGAACAACCTAACTATGTCAACATATTTGTTCATTGTACATCACATATTTGATCGTAACATCACGTATTCGGCTGAATAACGCAAACGCGTAAAGCAACTTAAAAAATGAAAAATTTAAAATTGGAGGTGTCGAAGTTGAAAAGAGCCAAAATTGGATGTTATCAGCCTAAAACCAGTTGAAGGGCAGTCTATATATTCAGGGCTTTGCCCTGATACGAGCAGTAATATTTTATTTAGTAAACTTTTGAGTTTTTAGCAAAACAATTTGACGAAATTTTTTCCCACCATATAAAAGATGTTCTTGTCCTGAGCCCAAATTTAAAAAGATGTTTTGCCCGTGATTATTTTTTGCTAAGTTACGGGGGTTTAAATTTTGCTAATGTGGCCAATCTGGGATTATTAACGAGCAATATATTGTGCCCTTATAACACGCGTAAGCTGCGGATTTGTGCGTACCAAACTCGATTGAGGCAAGTTATTTGTTCGTGTCGTTTTTCCAACTTTTGTAGCGAAATTGACGGAATATTTGTGCTCGTGGTGTTTTTTTTCTGCAGAAAAATTTAGACGTTTCAACTAGTCATTTTGTTTATCATTGCCAAATTTCATATCATTCAAAAAGTATTGTTGTCTTGATCTTAAATTAGACAAGACTGCTCGTATCAGGGCGAAGCCCTGAATGTTCCGACTGCCTTTTAAGGTTTTTTGAGCAGCAGTAATACATAAAAAAAAAACAAATGAAATAAAATAAAACGAAATTTTTTTTCTCTAAAATTTGAATTTTTTAATGAAAATCATCCCCCCACACGCCATATAAATTACAAAAAGATAGATTTCGTTCCTTGTAACAAATCAATTATGGCAAATAAGCTTCGTTCAACCAATTTGGAACGATTTAAAAGACGGATTAAATCTCGCTTACGCGTTAATAGGCGAATTATATTGCGCGTTAATTGTCCCAAATTGGTCAAAATGGCCAAAATGGCAATCTTTAAACCCTCATAACTTTGCGAAAAATGATGACAGGGGAAATATTTTTTCAAATTTAAGCTCAGGACAACAATACCTTTTGAATGATATAAAAAAAATTCCGTCAAAAATGGCTAGTTAAAAAGTCGAAATTTGTCTGAAGAAAAAACAAAAAACCCACCCCGAGCACAAATATTCCGTTACTTTCGTATCGAAAGTCGGAACAAAAATATATTTCATCTGTGATCATTTTTTTGTAAAATTATGGGGATTTAAAGATTGCAATTTTGGACAATTTGGGACAATTAACCCGCTAAATATTTTGCGCTATTAACGCGTAAGCGGAGATTTAATCCGTCCGAAAAGTCGTTCAGATTGGTTGAAGAAGCTTACGAGCAGTCTTGTTAGGATACTAGCCCTGATACGAGCAGTCTTGTTAGGATACAAGACTCTAAATACAATTGTTCGCAATTTAGTTAGTGATAAGCGATTTAGATAAGCGTGTGAGGGATAAACTGAAGAAAAAAATGAAAAAAAAAGTTCTTTGTTTTTTTCCTCCATTTTTGTCAATTTTTCAATCAAAAAACATTTAAATTGATCTTTAAGTTCAGTCAAAACATTCAGGGGCGTCGCCCTGATATAGGAGCTGTCTTGTTAATGTTGGAGGCAGGGCGGATCTAGGATTTTCTTGAGGTGGGGATTTTCAAAAAGTTTTCGAAAATTTTGACGACCTTTTATAGGTCGATGTTCCGAGCTCTCCTAAAGCACGAAAAAAGACGCTGTTTTGGCCATATTTTTGGGCACTTTTTGGAAAATGTTAACAAAATAATCGCGTTTTTTTGGCGCGCGCTCCCTCAAAGTTAGAAAATATTGGCGCCAAGAGGCAAGAGGTCGAATCCCCCCGGGGGGGGGGGGCGTCCGCCGCCTAAATTTGCCCCTGGTTGGAAGGGTATAACTCAAACCATGACAAAATTAGCTGACCTTTTCCCCAAATTTTCCTCAAATTTTGACTAACTATCACTACCTACTGAAAAATGTTAAGCATTATTTCAGGGCGCGTGGCTCTATTCGGGTGTCGAAAAACTCACCAGCTTCGAAACAGTCAAAGCGTGTTCACGACTTTTCTACAATCAGTTTTCTACAGAAAGCGTGAACATGCAAAAGTTCCTCGCACTGCTCACGGAATGTACTGCAAGCAAACTTCAGACAGAGTTGAAAGACCCGATCGGCGAGATTCTTATGTCGTGGCTCGAAAAAGGAGGAATGCCGATTGTGTCAGTGAACAAGTCGCCCGACGGTAGTTTGATTGTCGCTCAAATTCCAAGTTGCAAAACTGAAGAAGTTGTGTGGATTTGCCCGGAGCAAAGCGCCCTGTGGAAAATTCCTTTGTTCATAACCGACTATCATGGGACTTTGATCGGATGGGAGTATCTTGATGAACGTGAAAAAACGTTCCCTGGTTATGGAGAAAAATATCAGATTTTGTTCAACTACAACTTGAGTTTTCCATACAGTGTTCAGTATTCGAATGAAATCTGGAACGATGTGATTAGCGGTTTTAAAGCTAGAGAAATTGACCCATTCCAGGCTTGCCTGATTATGGGCGATTTGAAAAACAATCTTGACGTTGCTAGTTGCGACATGTATCCCGCGCTGAAGCTTTTCGAAGTTTTCGACCGCAGCGATTTTGAGTTCTACAAAATGATGAACCCCTTTCAGTTTTTGTACTTCATTCGAGCCAATATAGTTGTTCCGAAAAACCTTGAAAAAGAATTGTCCACTTTCATCTGGGAAACTGCTCAAAAAATTCAGATTGAAAGCTTCTGTCTCGAGCGTAAGTCGTCTTCTCACAACTGCTTAAGGTTTTGCGTTGAAAAAAAAACACATAATATAGAGCATTGCTTAATTGCACTCATTCCAGAATGGTCATACCAAAAATGAACCGGATGTTCTTTTTAATCTTCTCATGCAAAAATAAAATAGAATTCACTAAAGTGATTTCATAGCCGGGACTGATTCTTCGAATAAATTGAGTTCAACTATTTCTATAACTTTGAATTCTATTTCAGCCGGAAATTATGGTGTGCATGAGAGCAACACATTAGCATGCATGATGTTCTTCCAAAACCTCTGCCATCACGACATGCCAAGATGCCGAGAGCTCGTATCCGAACGAGGAATCGGCCACCACCAATCACAGAGTGTTTCCTGTGACTCAATTTTAGTGACACTTGTGAACGACGCCAACCGAACTACGCAAGAGAGAGTTGATTTCATGGTCGAAAATTTACTTTTCGATCCAGTCTTAATGGCTCTAATTGTTGACAGAAGTTCGCTATTGCTTCTCTGGCCGGATCTGTCTCAGACGTTGATGGACGAAGTAGCGAGAGACGGCTACGTCACTTCAGATCAGTTCCTTCGCCAAGTTCTAATTTCGGATCCGAACCTCAACGAGCTAGTCGCGACCAGTTTCCTCGCTAATTTAACTCAAGAAGTCCTCAAAAGGTTTCCAGTTAGAACAAACAACGAAGAAATGAAACCTGGAACCGCAAAAATGTACGAGATCTTGTCGATTTATTCAACACTTATTATCGAAAGTTCAAAAGAAGTTAAAGATATTGTCTCGACAGCCATGGAGATTATTGAGAAGCAGATTGCAAAATTGGGCTCTAATATAATTCCAATGACCTTGAGATTGAAGAACTTTGATATGCACACAAGAAATCAAAATATACTTATCGATTTTTTGCAACGAAGACAAGCAAAATTGAAAGATTGACATTAAAACAATTTTTTGATGATGTAATGAAATTATAAGTAGAGAGTTTATATTCAACCTCAAGAAACTTAATAATTTCCAAATTGAAGATGATATTCACATTTTTTGATCTTCACTGTTCACTGCTTGAAAATAATTTGAACAGTCGAGCTTGAATTTGAACGACACCCACTAAGATCATAGAACAGCAGAGGAATTAGGGATAGGGGCAGTCCCTTACCCTAAGAGAGAAGACCGCATCGCCACCCAAAGGAGCTCAAACCTATTAGGAAAGGGGCCGCCCGTCCCTTACTATTTTCCGGTCTCCAGTTTTAGTCGACCGACCCTAAAACTTACCTAAGGCGCCTTTGGCGTTATTATTACTAAATTTGAGGCATGAGAGCGCGCGACGAATAACGTCTTTTTTGATCAAAAAGTTTCAAAAGGTGAAGGTGTTAAACGTCATTTTCGGCAAGAATGGGCCTGCCGCTCAGCACATTTTGGCAAAATAGAAAATTAAAAAGATTTAGAGAGATCTCAGAAAAACAGTTTGGTTGACCTAAAAAAAGGACAAAATGTTCGATGTTTTTTTTGAAAGCCCCTTTGAAGAAAATCATGGATCCGCCCGTACCATAGAAGCAATGACTAAATTGGAGAAAGAGAACCAGAAAACGAAATTTTTCCTTACTTCTTTTGGTCGACTAATTCGATTAATTTGGGTCCATAAAACGTTTACGTACAAGTTAGCATGCGTTAACAAAAAAAACAGATAAAGAAGCGCACAACCTAAAAAATAGGTTATTAAAACTTTCTGAAAACTATAATGACGAAGCAATTTTATTCAGATTTTGGATCTCTTTAACTCTTCCCCTTTCACAAAAGGAGATTCGATACTAGATACAAAATACACCTATGCTAAGCTTAAATTAATTCTTTATAGGGATGGCAGTTCGTTTTTAGCTAGGTACAGGGACCATAGTTGGCGGATTGTCGAAAAAATCCCAAATTTTATATAAAGGACAATTTTTTTTAACCTTGTACCATCCTTTAGTTTATCTAAGAATAAAAACCAAGCAAGGTTTTTAAGTATACACAAGAACCAAGATAAGTTTTTTTTACACATTGAAAAAAATATTAATGACAATGAATCAGCGGTTGCTTGTAAATACGTGAGTTGCACCTTTCAAAACGCTCTAAAAGCTTTTCTTCCTCAAAACAGCTTTGTTCTCGAGTCTAGTTTTTGACGCTACTTTAGAAAAAATGGTTTCAGCAGCTTTCAATAGCAGAAAAGTGATGTTGAAATTTAATTGAAAACTATTATTCCTAAAACCAGTGCAAAACGACCGCAGAAAAAACCCTTAATTAATTTTCTAATTGAAAGCCAAGTAGTTAACACATAAATGGGACTCAAAATATACGCGTTTCTCCAAATATGCAAGTTTTGTTTTATGTTACCTGTTTTGAAAACTTCAGGCAAGAGGAAGATAAAGATAAAGAAATCTAGTTCAGAGAGTTTTCTGATGTTATCAGAAGCATATAACCCGACAATCGTAAGCTGTTGTTGGGTGGCTTAGTTTATGATAGAGACAGAATGATGAAAAAAATACTTTAATTCGAAATGAGTATTTAAAAATCTCAAACAAATCTCAAAGTTTCAAACTACCCGCATCCAGTATCAAGATATAATAATCGATTATATTATGATTTTAGAACCAGGTTTGCCAAAACTGAGAAATAATTGAATTTAGTCAATTAATCATTGATTACAATCTCTCTTTTTGAAATTCAATTTTTTTGATTGACTATAATCAATTAATAATCCATTTTTTTCGATTAAATTATAATTGATTAAAACCGATTATAACTCCATTGTTTGCCCATTTTGTTTTCGGCTTTGTATCTGAATTGTTTATTTTTAATGCTTGTAAGAAATGACATTGGCTGATGTAATAAATGAGAAAAAATGATTTAGAAGTTTTCAAATCAATTCGAAATCATAACGTTTATTTTTTAAATTATTCTCGATTAGAATTGTTTCATAATGCACATTTTAAGTTTTTTAACCACCAAAAAATCAGCATATTGCTTTAGTTTCATGCTTCATTTGGAAGAATTATTTTTCACCTAATATTATTATTATGAAAGGATCTCTAACAAACTTTTGTTTTGTTGTAAAACTTTGTGTTGAGATGGCATCCCATTTTTAGAGCTATTAATATTGTTAGAAAAATAATAACCAAAACAATATAAAGAAAATAATAAGCTACCGATTATAATTGATAAGAACTGTTTTTGTAAAGTAATTGTCAAAAAATAAACATAATGATCCGTTATGATTCATTACTTACTCCTAAGCTTGGATGCGGGTATAAAAACTAAAAATGAACGGTTGCAACAAAAAAAATTTCAAATATCGTCAGATCTAAAACGCATTGGAAAAAAAAATGATTTAAGAAAATATGAAAACCTAACTAAAAAAATTGTTTTATATCTGCACGAATCGTACAGCAAAGCTTGGCTGTAAAGATAAAAATGTATTTTGTGACAAAATTCATATTTTGCAGAAGCCATTCAGGGAATAAGAAGGTGAAACGATTGTGAATGGTTGGAACCTTTTCATCATTAGGTCCCTCAATAATGACAATGGAGCCTTGGTGTTGCGTAAACAATGGTAAGCAAGATGATCTTTCAATGGACATTTTTTGACCTATATCAACTTGATTCACAATGTAACGAACATAGATCGCTAAAAAAACATAGCTAACTGAGGTTTCAGCTGCGTTTGAAACCCAAATGACAAAGAAGCTGGGTTTCAAGTATTTCAAAACAGTTTAAAATAGGACAACTTAGTCAGAAAAAATTAATAGAAAGGAGAAATTGAGCAAAAAAGTGTAAGTTAAATATTGTTACGTACTAAATGTAATAGTATAAGATATGGAGTGGAAATTATATACTTTTATGTTAAGTAGCCACTGCCATCAAATCTTTTCAATGAACAAAATGTGCAAAACAAAATGGGCATCGCATAAGACTCGACAACCATAAAAAGATAAAATTGAAAATCGTATCGACAAGCATCAAAAATCAAACAGAGAATTGAGTTATTGTCAAAATATGAATTATAATAGATCAAAGAATTGATACAAATTACATTTCTTTAAGATTAAGTGTTTGATAATCAGCGTTTGATTCAAGTTATTACAGGTCCTTTTTAAAATTTTCAGTTGCATGTGGATTGTTTTTAATTTTCTCGACTGCCTAAGCAGTTTACTTTTTTATCAGAAATGAAAGTTTCCGTATAAACGGATTCAGATTGTTCTATTGTATTTATTGTTTCGACTTTCGTAAAGAAGGTAACGGAATATTTGTGCTTGGGGTGGTTTTTTCTTCTTCAGACAAACTTCGACTTTTTAAGTTGCCATTTTTGACAATTTTTGTAAAATATCATTAAAAAAGGATTGTTGCCTGGAGTTTAAAGTTAAAAAGACACTGTACCTGTGACCTATTTTCGTAAAATTATGGGGGTATAAAAGTTGCCATTTTGGGACAATTAACGCCAAAATTGATTTGTTGCTAGTAGCGAAATCTATCAATTTATACTTTATTTGCGTGTGGGGGAATGATTTTTACTAAAACTCAAAAAAATCTTCATGTTATTCTTAAATTTTTAATTTTTTCATGTTGTTATTGCTCCATAGACCTTAAAAGGCAGTCGAAACGTTCAAGGCTTCGGCCTGATAAGAGCAGTCTTAATTATTTATCGAAATTATGCTAGTCGATAGCTTTTTTAGTTTCAAATTGATTAAGCTAGTCGAGCTTTATACTAGGCGAGCTTTATGCTAGGCGAATTTTATGCTATTCTAGCCGTCACTGTGCTCGTACGATTTAAACGACTGAATTTTTCAAGAATTTAATTGAAATCCGATATAAACTACCCATTAGATCCTTCAATCTTTGATCCTTCACTCTAAAAAAACAGTTAATTTAGGGCAATAAAGTCGCCTATAACAAACTAGTAAGAAAACTCAAAAAATTGAAAAAATACTACGAATGTTTCGTTGACACTAGATGTTTTTTCTTTCGAAAAAAAAACAGAAATATGTTTAAAAATTGCTGGTTAAAGATTTTCTCTAGAGAAAAACCTCTACGCTCTGATGGTATTCATTTATTCCATGTTTCATATCTAAATTTTCAAAAAAAAAGAGAATTAACAAAATTTGCAATTATAACTCAGTACTGTTAAGAAATTTAGCATGCGAACATACTGCACAAAAAGAAATTGAGAAGATTTTTTCAAGAAACAGTGAATAAATTCCAATCAAATCTAGGGTTACTTACATTTTAAATTAAACTTATGAAAAAAGTTTGATGATTGCTTTAAAAAAAAATGATTATGTGTGGACCATATTTTTTAGGCGCATCAAGAATATAACATTTTTTCAGACGCATCAAGAATATAAAAAAAACAAATAATCTTCTTTGCAAAACTTTCCTCGTCGAAAGGGTTATACAATTTTTTCATATATTGTATAAATTGCGCAACCTCTAGCTGATTTGAATCCACTGTTTTCATAAATCGGATAAACCAACTCGTAAACTAGTGTGAACAAAGCATCCAAAGACTACCGGCATAAAAAATGTCCAATAGTTCAGTTTTCATCCAAGCTAGCCCTTTCTTTAGAATAGCTTTTCTCCTTGTAGCTTTTGGATCATCTCTCAACCCAAGTCTTGCTAGTGAGTTAGCAAGCCAGCGTGAATGAGGGCTACTTTGCTGACGGTAAAAACATAGTCAAGTAGAAATAAATCGCAAATAGAGCAAGAGCAGAGAAAGAAGGCACGGCAGAGAAAGATAGATAGATAGATAGATAGATAGATAGATAGAGAGAGAAGAGAGAGAGAGAGAGAGAGAGAGAGAGAGAGAGAGAGAGAGAAAGAGAGAGAGAGAGTGAGTGAGTGAGCGAGTGAGTGAGTTTTGAATTCAAGCTATGAGTGGATGAAAAAAAATCAACTAATTAGAAATTTGAGACCTATCTCTATTTATAGTGAAGTTGTGGGAGTTGACTCGATTCTGACCCAATTTTGCAATCAGAATTGCTTGTGTCTGCCAACGCATAATTTTT